GCTTCCCAGAGAACGAGGGGCCCCTTGCAATGCAGGACTGATGCTCACAACCAGCTTCCCGTGGCACAGCAAACCCAAGGAGCAGCTCATAGGACTCTCCGGTGTGGGTCCAGCCCATGGCTGAAGGGCAGGTACAGGGGTGCAGGCCCCCAGAACTACCCTTTCAGGAGCCCTTGCATCCCAGACTGCCTGGGCATGGGTGAAGCCTCCCCAAGAGGGTGCAAACTATCGGTTATACCTTGTAGCTAATAGTCTTTTTAGATTGCCTTGTAGCTAATAGACTTTTTAAATTGCACTGATATTTTCCTTTCTTTTCTGAAATGAAATCTATCCTTTGTACTTACACTGCTTGCACGTGGGGGGTTTCTTTATGTGCAACACCCCAGCCAAATTCAGTTATCCCAGATTTCTAGGTGGGGGCTTGAGCCACAGTAAAACCTACTTGGGTCCCTCCGAAATTTGAACCTAGCCCTTGTTGTTGCCGACCGGCGCCCAGCAGAAGGGTTACACATCTTCTCACATAATTCACCCTTGAACTGAGACCTGAAACCTTTCTATATGACAGTTCAACGCTTTCAGGGAGTCATAACTGAAAACCGATGGGTATAATGGAAATACGTAGCTGTGGAAGTCACGCGCATGCGAATTAAACAGCTTCTCTTACTTTTGCCTGGTTCAGGAGGCAGGACAGAGATGCCAATTCTGAAAAAGAAAAAACAAAGTTTAAAAGCAGGAGGTATTTAGAGCAGAGATGTGGTGAGAGCCAGACATCCCCTCCACCTGCACACACACAGACACTGGCTAGACTGGGACCAGATGCAAACTTCAGAGCGAACGTTACAAGAACTGCATATCTCAGGGGATTAGTAAAGCCCGAAGGAGAACACGTCTCTAGGTCACTGGCTATAAATTCACTCCCTTGCTTGCTTTGCTATGACTTCCTTTGTAGAGAAGCCCTACCTACAGCGACAGAGAATTTCAAGGACATGTTCTTGACAAACAAGGGATCCTGATGTTATCCCTTTCCTGAAATGATTTTTAAATTGAGAAGCCCCCTATTTTATTGGGCATTCATCAGGCAGAATTTAACTTCCAGCTATAAAACATTTCAAAAGATCATGACGCAATTTATTTTTCAAAAGCACATTTTCCCCTATTATCTAATGTCAGAGCAAGAGTATTATGTTTTCATTAAGCAGATTACTGGCCACCCTTTTCATATCTTTGGGGTTTTTTTCCCCAAAAAACCATTGCTATATTTAATTATATGGAAGTAAAATTCAGAATATGAGCACATGAAGTTTGCCTCTGCTTTGAAGACAAAGGAAGTGTCCTGTACATTAGCAGGAGTTCTCATGCAACTTTACCCATGTTCTTTTCTGTCCCTGTCTCCATCATACCTGCCAAGAAAAATGAAAATGATTGTTAATGATACTTCCACTTGCACAGTATTATTCATGGAGGAATTTCAAAATATTTTAGAAATGAATTACCGTTCCAAAATGCCTCTTGAAGACATGTACTTATGTATTAGACCCATATTAATGATGGGAAAGTTGAGGACATATCGTTCTAAAGCAGGGGTGCTCAACTTCCAGCCCAGGAGCCAAATGTGAACAGTGGAGCTATGGTATCTGGCATGCAATTGTCCTCATGGGTCAAGGAATTTGGCAATGGGGGAGTGGTGGCAATTAATACGGCCACCCTCCCCACTGCTAAACTCCCAAACCTCAAGCCCTGCACAGTGATTTAGGGCCAGGCCATGCCCCCTCCCCTCCATGCAGCTGAGTTAGGGCTGAGCCACATCCCCTCCTTCCCCCTCTCCTCCAACACATCTGGATGGGGCAGGGTCAGGCCCTCTGTCCCTGCGGCTGGCTCAGGACCAGGTCATGCACCTTCCCCCCACTGGGTTGGGTTGGGGCAATGTTATAACCACCCCCCTGGGACCAGCCTCTCCTCCCCTCCTTGCCACAAGCAGCCAGATGGAGTCCCACCATGACCACCCCGGGCACCGGACCAGGACCACCATTCAGATCAGGCCTGCGGACAGACCGGGCACTGTCCATCCAGCCCGCTGGCCAAAAGTTGAGCACCGCATACATTGCTGTGTTCCAATGCAGGGCTGCATGGAGACGAACGAGGTAGCTTGGGAAGTGGATTTAGTGTAGCCACGTTAGTATGATGTTCTGGCCAGGTTAAGAGCAAGAAAAATGCCCCGCTAATATGGCTACACTAATTGTGCCAACCAAGCTAGTTCAGGTATGTCTTTGGCACTGCATTGTGAGTTCAGGGATACCCAAACAGGCTACGATTACGTGCCCAAGTCCATATGAGCATCCAAGTCAAAGTGATCTGGCGTGCCATGTAATACACTTTCCACATGCTTTGACAATCATAGGACTTTGATTTAGAGGCTCCTTTTGATAGCCACGCTCCTAAAGCGACAGCCAAGGCTCTGCAGGTATTCTGTGCCAGGGCTACGGACATTGCTACAATCTCCTTTGAATCGTAATCCAATTCCTCATCCAGGTCACGTCATGAAAAAGCCTTCATACCTTGTGCAAACAAACAGCTTTTCTTGTAAACCCAGATACTGATGGCGTGCACGCTAAAATACCCAGCATATGGCAGCTCAGTAAAGGTCTCTCCAGAGGGAGACTTTGTCATACTTTGGACTGTGCTGTTCAGATCCTACCTCCCATCTGTTCCATGTGAAAAGCTTCCATTAAAAACAAACCTCTGGA